ATTAAAATTTAACTACAAACAGAAACATTTACTATTTAGCCTATATATAGTTAAATTAATATGTATACAAATTTGCACAACCTTTATGAAAAGTCTGCTATTTAGACTAGCATTGCTATGCCATAAAACTCGTTATTTTCTCAATCCATATTAAGTCAAGTATGCGAGATTCTACTGTATTTTAAGTGAATGAAACCATTGATTTCAATGAGTTCCTGCTATTTATTTTTACTACTATATCTACTATACTATATTTTATCAACTATATTAGCAAAAAAAAAAGGAATCAATAAAATGCAAAAGTTATCACTGACGGGATTGACAGCTAAAAGTATGTGGTACCGGTACATACCTGTTATCACATACCCTTAGATAAAACAAAATCAATTTCATACTATCTGAACATGTTCTAATAAGAATTTATTCAAAAATTTATGTAAACAGCAAATTTGTTTTGTTAGAACATTTAATTCTTATAATGAATAAATATATTAAATTACACAACACTTACATCTTTGAATGCAATTCCAATATTCCTAAGTGGGAAATTTAACTGCATAGAAAATGCCTTTTTCAACTGATTAACAACATTTTCTTCTAAATTTCTTTTGGAATTATTAAATACCTACAAATAAAACAATAAAAGAAATGTAACATTGAACATAAAAACAAATAATTAAATTGCATAATTTAATACATTAATAATATTACAAGAAAACATATAAATTTAGAATGCTTGTCTTCACACACACACAATCAAATATGACATGCAAAACTTTAATTAGGTGTTAAAACATACTTAAGGATGCAAAACAAAAACAACTTAATTATTCTTCAACTGCTTTTGCTTGCATCAATGCAAACTTCTTCAGGCATTGAGAATGGAACAAAGCTTATTGATAAATGTTTCTTTCAATTTTTAAAAAATTGAAAGAAACACTCTCTTTATCAATAATTTAAACACAGGATTTAAATACAGTACTCTATTAAACACTCTTATATCAGCACAATTCTGTAAGCTAATATACTGAGATAAAGTTTCTGCTCCAAAAAAATGTTATTAGTCAAACCTGTCTATAACAAAATCTGTATATAGCAAAACCCTGTCATTAATGAAGAATTTTGTTGGTCCCTTAAATTTTCTGAAAAAAATCTATGTAAATTCACCTGTATACAGTGTAACTTGTCTAATGTGGAAATAGAAAGTAAAATCAGGTCTTATAACAGAAAAATTGGTATTCTCTGCCATGTTCAACCAGCTGATGCACAATGTGAAAGGTGTATTTTAGGAATGAGAAAAGGGTCTAAAGCTGTACATTCTGCCAGGCTCAAGTCACGGCTATAACACTTGGCCTTATTGCATTTAGTTGAGTATAGACAGCACAATAAGAGATTATACTTAGGCAATACTAATTATCATATTTTAGGGGAGATAGAATGACAAGATGGGATAGTTCTGTAGTATTGAACATGAACTGTTTTGGGGAGAAAAGCTATTTAGTGCCTTGGTATGCTCATTATTTCAGAAAAAATCCCAAGACTCTCCAAAGAATCTCTAAAGTAAAACTGTGTGAGAGTGACTATGTATTAAATCCATAGATTATCCATCCAACCCTGTTCTACCTTTGCAATCACCCAGGATAGAGTTCACTTTTATTTATTTAAATGCTCTTTTTTGAGAAAAAATGATGTACAGCATTAAGTGTAGCAAAATTACCCCATCCTGTTACCCTGGCTCCCTAAAAACAGAAATAGTGAATATTGACCAAGTGCAATCTCTCATCAAGCCAATTATCTATATTCATTTGTTGGTTCACTCCACTTCCTTAAGGTGATACCATGGCTGCAAAAAAATGGTGTTCTGTTGATCTTAACACCAAAGTTATGATTCTGGAAGCTCATCAAAAGAAGAACATGACTGTGAAGCTAATTGTGGAAAGGTATAAAATAGGAAAAACACATGTAAAACTAAATTGTCATTATTTTTGTCATATGCAAATTCAGCAGATTGCTACCAGCTTCCAAATTACTGGTTTATGACATTTTGAAGTGAAGAGAAGAGATCATGCACAAATAGTTGAAGTGAAATGGTTCCATGAAAAGAAAGTCTAGGAAGAATGACAATGAGGAAATTAACATTGTGATTTGAGCCTTGATACTTTAAAGTTCATCTTACTTAACATCTCACAAGGAGACCCTATGGCTTTGGGGAAATGGATTTTGATGATCTTTGGTGTAGAGGTAGAAAACTGGTTTGATTCTCTTGTGTACACTTTTTTCCTTTTATTTTTTTTATTCATAAATACTTATAATGTATTTATTTATTTACTCAAAGTATTTACGAATAAGTATTTATGAATAAAAAAAAAAGGAAAAAAGTGTACACAAGAGAATCGAACCCGAGCACTCAAGCGTACGAGTCAGGATTGTTAACACTCAGCCACAGACGCTCAAGAGAAAGTACGCATAACTTATATATAAAATGCTAAGAAAACTTTAAGTTTGCTTTTCTTGATTATATTTGAGTACTGCACTTTAGTATTTTACAGGTAGTATCCTCACATGGTTTAATACCTCTACACCAAAGATCATCAAAATCTGTTCCCCCAAAGCCATAGGGTCTCCTTGTCAGTACTTTCCTTTGTTTTTTTCTTACAATATAGGACCAGAAACAAACAGATTCTTAATCCTAACACTGTAACACATTAAAGTAAAGCACCTGTTAATAAGTGTTAATAGTCTTGTATTAATCCCCTGATAACTTTGGGTCAATATCCATGTTAAATTGCCATTTGGATGATGTGTCTTAACTCTTTGTGCTTGTTGTTGATGTTAGATGAATGTGTATGATCTTTTTTATTAATGCTCTGAAACTTGCCAATTTATATGAGTACAGATCTGATGATATGATTGGGATAAAAGATTATTGATATATAGGTTTACATTACACAGATGTTTGACCCTTTGTTCTTGAATGGTAATACAGTAGAGCATCAATTATCCGAATGCCAATCAACCAAAATGTCAGTTAACCTGAGAGCTTTCCAGTTGGACTGTGTCATGCTGAATCAAACGTTTTTGATACTAGATTAACTTCTAAAGTATAATTTTTTTTGTTTTTATATTTTTCAATATATTTATTTGTACAAAATAATAAAATAATTTTTAACGATACAATAGCCATGATTATTATTATAAAAATTTTCATTAGGCTTAACATCGACAAAAATTCAATGCAAAGCGACACACAATGGAGAAAAATTTAAATATGGGAGATATTAATATACTATTATTGGGATATACTAATATACTATATTAATAATGTATTTTTTCGTACATAATCAGTTATCCAAAAAAATCGATTTTCCGAATAACCCCAGTCCCCAATTGATTCAGATAATCAACACTCTACTGTATTGACATCTAGAAAGTGCACACTATTGTTGTGCTCTTGCTCTAGGCATAACCATAAGCCTTAATTGATGTTGTTGATGAATTTTATGAACTCCTGTGCATCTGGTTTGCATGTCCATATGATTAGATCATCATCAATGTACCTAGTATATAGGCTGATGACTGGTTCAAAAGCTGAAAGGACACTATTTTCCAGATGTTCTAATGACTAACACAATATGCCCAAGAGGTGACTTCCCATCAGCATATTTTTGGTTGAAAAACCGATCCTTTGAACTGGAAGATGTATGACATGACAGACACTCCAAAATGTCTTTATGATATTTATTCAAACCCATTACATATAAAAATAGGGTTCTATTTTTATGGACGTGTATAATGATTCAATGTAACATACAGTGATGTATGTGTCTTTCTCTACTTGTAATTCACTTAGTTTTTCCAGACATTCCATGAAATTCTTAATGGTTTGGTGGTATGAATGTAGATGGTTGTTGATAGATTTGTTGACAAGCCATCTTTATCAACCATTCAGGTTGATAAAGATGAATTGTCAACAATAGGGAGTAATTAGTTTTCTGTTTGTGCACCTTGGCCAATGCAAAAATTTTTAGTGTTGACAATGCAGAGATAGAAGCATTCTTTATATGTAATAAGTTTACCAAAGATGTCTTAGTAAAATGGATGACACAATTTTGCAATTTATGTAGGAATTCTGGTCGTGCCTGACTTCATTCCATGATTTTAATGAATTTCAGGATCCATTTTCTGTATGTCAATATACTATATTAATAATGTATTTTTTCGTACATAATCAGTTATCCAAAAAAATCGATTTTCTTGATCTTGCCTGTCCTACATATAATGTCATCTTTCATCAGCATTCTAGATGTTTTGAATAAATCACAAATAAGGGAAGATTCTGGTATATTCTTAAACTAGACTTCCATCTGTAGATTTCTTTATTAATATCGTTTAGTCCTTCTAGATGTTTAGTCCCTGTTTAGTCCTTCTATCGTTTAGTCCCTGTTCTAGATGTTTCAAACATCTAGAACAGGGATGTCCAACCTTTTTGTTTCTCTGGACCACATTGGAAGATGTCATGGAGTTTTGGGCCACAAGTATATATAATATACTTGTGTATTATGTATAATGTATATTCAAGGATTAACATGTCTAGATTATAGTAATAAGTATTAAATCTTTATCATGAAAAAGGATATTTTAAAAAATTATTTCTACAGACATTTCCAATTTTTACTTAGAAATAGATAAATTAATTTATTATAAAGGAGACAAACAAAAATTTATTTGAAAAACAAAGATAACATTTTTTGGCACAAAATTTACAAGATATTTACAAGCAGTGATACCTCAAATTGATTTTCCATGGTTTTTGGTTACGTTTTTATTGTTTTCTTTTTATTTACAAAAGAAATAATTAATATTTCACACCAGATTCTTTTTTTTTATTATAATATTCTTATGTTTAACCATCAAATCAAACAAATTTTTCCAAGGCATAAAATTAAATTTTTAATCCTTTGAAGATATATAGCACTCTTTGAAAGGCAATCCTCAGTGTTATTTGAAAAAGACAAAACTATAACATTTTTAATATTTCATTTGTATAAAAACTATAAACAAAATAGCAAAATCTCTTGTTAAAAAAAAAAAAAAAAAACAGAAAAATTACATCAACTTCTTGATTGTATAATTTAAACATAAAAGATTAATTGGTGAATACACTAAAAACAAAAATAGTTCTATTTTTATAAATAAAATATTGTGATATTAATGAAAAGATAATAAAAATACTTCATTAGAAAAAAATTTAACAAAATATGCCTGCTACGACTAGGATTTTTTAACAAATATTGTAAGTGTAAACACAATTTTATGGGAATGTTATATTGATCTCTGGTAGATAATTTAAATCCATAGATCAATATATCAGTCTCTAGCTTATTAAGCAAAACATCTATTGAAGAAAATAACAGCTTCATTTAAATATTTCAAAATAATCATCACATCTATAAAATTTCTTTATTGAAATTAAGCAAAACTTAATTTAATTTTAAATTACATTTAGACATATAAAGTTTTGAAAAATTATCTAATTTTATAATCTTTTGAAATATATACTTATTTATTGAATTTGGAAAATAAACATAATGAAGATATAATTCTAATTAATCTGTAAAATGAAAATAAAAACACATTTTTATAAATTAAACAACTTCTATAATTAATACTTACAACAACTAATTTATACTGATTTGGAATCAAATTAGGATGCAAAATAGTATAATTTGGCACATCTTGCTTTGGATAATAGTCACCTTCAATCAGTTTATCATTATTTTGAAGTTTGAAGGGTAAAGATTTTGCTAACATTTCATCTCCTGTATAATAATTTTCCTTTTGTGGAGTAATTTCTACTGACTGTCGAGAAAAACTGACATGTCGGCATTCTACTGAAAGAAAACATAAAATTATTTTAAATTATCATTTCATTCTTTAAAAGAATAATTATATTCTATTATGATAAGTCAGTACATTAAATTAAATTCTATTATTATATACTACTATTTTTATGTCAACTGTAATTGCAATTAATTACAGATGGCATAAATTAAATTACATTTTTCTGTTTACAAATTATTAATTGCAATAGCAGAAAAAGAATTTCTCAGAAATTAGAATACTAAAAATTATGAGAGTATGTCTTATCAATACTTCTACCATAAAATTTATATAAAATAAATGAATAAATATTCATTTTAACTTTGTAATGTGAAGCTATTGTCACAGTTATGTTTATATATAACTATGATAGAAAATAAACCCATAATCATATGAAATTAATATTCAAATGATCAAAAGGTAATTTGGACTAAAGATAATTAGTTCTTTAATTCAAATTACTTAATCTCTGTATACTTAAGTAGCCAAAGCTACAGCCCAATAATGAATCTAGCTTTATTATTTGATCATTGTCAGGAATTGCAACATCTCCAATAATTTCAAGATGATTTTCTCGTTAGCTTGGCAATATTGCCACTAAATGGTATCTTGGCACCAAGCTAGTAACGAATTCAGACTGTTGTGCTACACAGTGTTACAATTTTAGTCTTTTTTAAATTAGATCTACATACTTGCAAATCTTTACAATGAAGAATAGCTGGGACATTGGTAGAAAAGTGCTGATTTTTGAATAAAAACACTGACAGAATAAAAAGTGAAAAAAATTCTTTATTAACAGTGATATTGCACAATGCTTATATTAAATAACTTTAATAAACAAAATTTAATGTAATCTCTGCATATGATATCTTATAAAAATATTGCCGTAAACACTATCAAAAATATAGCAATAGGTTAACATCAACATCACAATTTAGAAAATCCAGCAAGTTGCTTAACATTCCCGACAACATTTAAAATTGTGCGCAGTACCATCCATTATGATATTTTATTATTAAAAACTTTTTATATTTTTAATTATTATAAAATGACAAAAAGCTTAATTTTGAGGGTAGGGATGAGTTTTATAAGAACATTTTAAATGTTAATAACAAGTAAAATCGTCATAAGTCCAACCCTACTCGAGACACAACACATGGCTCTACTTTATCTCTCCACTCCATTGACCTCTAACTACCAAATATTTAATAGCATCAATCCCAATTTAATATATAAAAATATCAATCTTGATTCTTTCCAAATTGAAGGAATCTGAGAATGTCATTCTTATTTGTTTCAATTGTTTGTAATAAAATACATACAATGTCTTTGGCATACATATTGTTACTAGACTCATTAAATAAAGTATTTTTGTGATAATAGCAAATTCTTTAAAAATGCTGACAAAAGGAGAATGTGGCCTGTCCACTGACAGAGCATACGAAACACTGATCATTGGCAACTATCAATCTAGTCTTCTATTTTTCAATTCCTTTTGTAATATACCTTGACAAATATATAACATCACATGTAATAAATAGCATTGAGTGCACTAACACCTAGTTGTGCTTAGCAGTACTACGGTATGTACCCTTATACTTAATAAAGATAGATAAGATAAGCCAATAGTATGGGCAAAATAGTTACTTTTAATTTACAGTAACAGGTTTTTATTGTTATTTTAAAATAACTTAAAAATAACAATTGCTACTAGTGCTGTGCAAAGACTAGTTTGACTCCACCATAAGACCATTATTTTCCCAAGTTGTGAGAAAGGACATGAAAAGATTCATTATTGTATAGTCTTAAAATATATTAAATTTTTTTTTTGTATTAACTTTCTTTGTTCTACCACTTCCCTCAGAATTGTTTCATTTGTTTTCCATTCAGTCCAGCTTGTTTTGTTTACTCTCCTCCATATTCATATTTCTGCTGCTTCCAGATGGGTGCTTTCCTGGTGTCCAGTATTCACTTCAATACAGCAAAATGTTCCAGAGAAATGTTTAGTAAATATTTTCTTTGCTTCCATAGTTAGGTGTTCCATTCTTGCTTCATGAGCCCTATCCTTTTCTTGATCTCTTTCATACATTATTATTTTCTGTGATTTCACTCCTTATATAAGTAAAATTTCTTAAAGATTTCTCCCACACCGGGTCATATACAACAAATATGTGTAGTCTTTAACCAATATCCGGCGTGAAAATTCCAAACTAATATTGGCAAACGCTTTTGATGCCCCCTCCTGGGCTCTTCTTCAGGCCAAATTTAATGTACTGGATTCTTAAATCGAATATTTTTAAATAAGAACGTGCTCTGTTACTAGAAGTTCAAATAAGGAAAGTAATCACATGCCTTTCCAAATTATAATTTCTTTATAATTTATATTCATGAAGATATGTTGTGCGCATCTTATAATAATCTCACATATTTTATAATCACATGCCGTTTCTAAAAATAATTTTAACTAGTGGATATACAATGTGTGCATCCCATAATAATCTGGTGTATCATATAATAAATTACGATTCATCATCCAATAAATACTGCCACGCTGTTGAGAGATTCATTTCTTCTTTAAGATTGATGATTAGTTTGCAATCTGCTTTGTAAATTTCCATCGCTTCCAAAGTTCTTAGATGTTCATGATGACGAGTGGTGTGGATGATCCGTGCCTCATTAAAAATTGGGGTTATGTCTGGGTTTGTTGCATATGTCGACAATGCTGTCATATATTTGTGTGGGTGATGTCTGCTTTATGTTCCTTTATTCTGGTGGCTAATAAACGTTTAGTGGACCCTATGTAAATTAGTTGTCTTTGCCATCTATCGTCTATTAAGGGAATGGTGTATATTCCTGGTAGCCTGTTCGGGTTATGGGCGTCTTTTCCGTTTCTTAATAAATTATATATGGAAGGGTTTCTTCTGTATGTAATTTTAATTCCTTTTTTCTTTGCAATTGAATTATATATCGTTTTCATTTGTGGGTTGTACGTTACCGGAACCCTTTCCATATGTTCTTTATCATCTGCTCCTGATGTCTTTTCTTCATCTGTTTTACTGTTTATGTGAAGGCGTTGATTACATAATTTGTTTATTAAGTTGTCATAAACGTGGTCTTTAGCGACATCTCTAATATACGCTAATTCTTGTTGTAGAACGTAGGTCGTGGAAGAGTGGGAATAGACCCTTTCTACCAAAGTCCTGAATGCCGCTACTTTGTAAGAGTACGGGGTCACAGGAATTGATGGGTATGTATGATGGTATAGTTGTGGGTTTTCTATAAACTTTTGTTTGTATTGTTCTTTCTTTAATTTCAATTTCTATATCCAAGAAGTGGATTTTTTCATCACTATGCTGCTCTAATTCCAAATAAAGGCCATAAGGGTTGTTGTTCACGGCTGTCTTAAATTGTCTTAGGTCTGGTGGTGTTTTCCAGCGAATTATAATGTCATCTATATACCTACCATACATGATTATATTTGAGAGAAAGAGTGGTAGGGTTTTGGTTTCTAATGCCTTAATTACCATTTTGCAGATTATGGGAAGTCCCCAGATAGTGGACTTCCCATAGGTACTCCTCTCTCTTGTGCATATATGTTTCCTTTGAACTGGAATACCGAACTGTAACAGGCTAGATGGGCCAATTCCAGTATATCTTGGTGCAGATTAGTATCATTTACTTTTTCTATGAGGAAATCTCTGAGTGCACAAAAACAAGGTTGTATTTTTATCAAGGGGTATAATGATCTAAAATCCCATACTGTGGGATTTTAGATCATTTCGTATTCTGGCTTGTTTATGGTTTTGAGTTTTAATATCAATTCTTTTGGATTCAAGATATTGAATCGGTAGTTTACTAGATGTGCAGACAGCATATTATGAAGAAATTTTTCAAGTTTGATGATAGGAGCTCTTCCTTTGTCTACTACAGGTCTTAGCTGTTGTCCTATTTTATGTGTTTTGGCAAAGGCGAACATATTCGATTTAAGAATCCAGTACATTAAATTTGGCCTGAAGAAGAGCCCAGGAAGGGCATCGAAAGCCGTTTGCCAATATTAGTTCGGAATTTTCACGCCAGATATTGGTTAAAGATTACACATATTTGTTGTAAAACTTACTTATTATTTCTGTCGATCCAGATTTAGAGTTTGTCTTCCCAGTGTTTGTTTCTATTACCATTACCTTTGTTTTCTTAATCTTTAAACCTCAATGATGTAAGTTCTCATACAGTATACTAAACATATGATTTATTTCTCTTCCTGAATTACTCATTGTTACTGTATCATCAGCAAATCTGATGCAGTGTATCTTTTTCCCATTTATCATTACATCTCTTCATTTTATGTATCTCTACGATGTACATATTAAACAGGTGAGAAGAAAATGAGCAGACCTGTCCTATGCCCTTTTTCACATTGGCTTCCCTCTCCACCCCATTGATATTTATATATGTATGCTTGTTCTTGCATAACTGGTAAATTATCCTTTTAATCTAACAATCTACAATCTAAGTTTGCCTTCTTCGTAGTTTTAAACAGCATATCTCATTTCACTGTATCGAATGTCTTCTCTAGATCTATGAATGTCAGATATGCTTTTCTGTTCATTTCTAAGCTTCTTTCTAGAATCATTCACAATGCAAAGATAGTTGGACTGCCATTTGAAAAAATTGTAGACCTATAAATTCCAACTGTCATCAGTCCACCTGTTCTTCCTTAAATTAATCTAGAAAATGGAAAAATACAGATGAAATCCAAGATCAGATATGGAAACCTTAGAGGCAGGAAGCACCAATTAACTATATACAGTCGACCCCCCTATAACATGAGTTCCTATAGTTCGGATTCCTATATGATGGTGAAAAAATTGTGATAGTATCCGTACAAACATGATAAAAAAACTCTTATAATTCAGTAAAACGTCATCGGGCAGCCGAACTACTTTCCGTCGTCCAGCGCCACACTACGGAGAGTTTAGGCGGGTAAATTGAGTTTACTATCGTCTGCACAGTATTATATATAAATTATATATAAATTAGGTACTGTACATATAATTATATATTAATTATATATAAATTAGGTACTTTATATATAATTATATATTAACTTAATTTATTGTAACTTTATTATAATTATATATATACTTTCCACCGTCTAGCGCCACACTACGGAGAGTTTAGGCGAGCTATCGCCTGTACAGTATGTAAATTAGGTACCGTAAGTCTAATACAGTACTGTAATTTTATACATTTCTTGTGAAAGAAACATTTCTTATTCAACGGCCATAAAAATTATTTATATTAATGATGTCTCCAAAGTTCAACGAAGTTTTTGCAAAAAAATAACTTATCAGAAATTGCGCCCGCTGTTTGGTGCGCTGCTCCGCGATGAAAACAAGCTTAAACAATGGCGACGTCGAATCGTGCACACTCGGTAAGTAATCCTACAATTTTTTGTTTATAGCATAGTTTATATGGATTATTCCCAAAAAAAATATACGTATTTTGGAAATGTTGAGTCGAATTAGTCTAGAAATCAATTAATTTTATGGAAGAAAACCTTTCAAACAACCGTAGTCCGTAAACTTCACACGTGTCGGGCTGTGATTGGCAAGGTCTCCTAAAACATCAATTTCATAAAAAACGGAACTTATCTACCATGTTATAGGGGGGGTTGACTGTACAAATATCCAATGCAAATCAGAAGTTATGTTATTTCAATTCAAAAATTTTTCCCTGAAAGCAGTTAATAGATGACCGGCATAACTTTATTGTTAAAGGAAAAGTATGATGTACAGGGGCAAGACACTACTAATAACTTGAGGTGAAGAACATGTATTTTAAATTTAATTAATTAAAAATATGATTAAAAATTGCAGCCTGGCATTGTGACCATATCACAATAAATAATTTCTTTCATACCTATACTTGCCTAGAAGCCGAACTGATCTTCCAAGTAATTGTCTATTTTACTTTGTATTCTGCCTTTTACTATGTACAGTAGAATTTTCGTATGAAATAAAAGAGATATTGTTGTGTAATTCCAACATTTCTATTTTTTAGGCAAGGTGATAGTTCTGCATTTTGTAAAATTGCTCAGTATCTCACCTGTTTCATAACAGTCAAATTACTTTATATAATTGTTTTTCTTAACTTTTAAAAGCTCTACAGGTATGTTATCTATTCCTGTTGCCTTCTCCAAGCTCTGTTTTCAAAGTGCTTAGTTATATTTTTCTTCTAATAATGATGGGCCTAAATTTTCTCTATCAATTATATGTTCATTTTCAATGTGTCTAATTTCATCATTATATAATTCCTCCATATACTATTTCTATCTGTCACTAATTTCTTCATTGCTTATTAAAATTTTGCCTTCTTTGTCTTTGATTATAGTTGGCCTTGATCTTATTGTGTATAGGAGCTGTTTGATCTTATGGTATGATCTGTCTTGTGACCCCCTCCTTATATCCTCCTCAATTTCCTTAGATCTTTTCTCCATTCATCTCTCGTTTTGTATTCTGCACTCATCAGGTATTTCATTTTCTATTCTCATTCATCTTTCTGTGTTATACTTCTTCAGCCTATTTCTGTTAGATGTTAACAGTAGTATTTCCTGTCATCCAAAGTTTTTTCTATCAATTTTCTACTTCCTAACAGACACCAATACAAACCTAATAGAAATCTATATCATGTAATGCAATTACATATGACAATAACACCTATAAACAAATAGCAAGAACATTAAATATAAAGTAGCATACAAATGAAACCCAAACATCTAGTCCCTCCCTAATCAGAAATGATAAGGAAGGGGTGAATAAAGACATTCTACTAAAAGTATATACCATTCCAGTAAATGATACCAGAATTAATCAAACCTTAGAACATACAGGAGTAACCAGCCAGCCATTAACAGAATAAAAGAACATCAAGTCTCCGTAAATTATAAATTACGTAATCAAATTGATTACGTTATTTATCTAATAAGTAGCATAAAACTAGCCCGATAGATTTTCGGCAGTCTGTTGGTTGTAGCTATCAAGTCTCCATTTCTGATACTGCTTTAGCTTCATATGCACTGAATGGCCAAGTAAAAGTGCTATTTGATGACACACAACTCATTAATCATATAAGGAATAAAACTAAGGTAAAAATCTATGAAACAGGTGGAAATTTACAAAGGCAATTATAGAAAAACAACAATAAACTTTAAAGACAATGACACTCTTTGCAAGTGCGTGGAGATCTTTTTGAAATTTCATAATTGAGGCAGATTGTTAGCAGATTGTTTGCCATTTTTGATTAATTTCAATGAGGAATCCAAAAATGTAATAAAAAACAGGTGTCCATGACTTCATTTTCAAGATATAAGGTTGAAGCATGAGCATGTACAACAAAGCGCTATTGAAGAAATCACACTTTGTCAGGTGATGTCCCAAGGTCACTAGCATATCTTCTATGGACTTATAGAACCAAGTTCATTCTCAAAATTTGATGGGCCAATTTTACTAAAACTGCCATTTTTGTTAATTGTGATGAGAAATCCAAAAATATAACGAGGGTCAATTTAAATGTAAAACATAGGTGCCTACAACTTCATTTTCAATATAGAGTGGAAACAAAATGACATCTGTGCTCCCCAACATAATTGAGCACATTTAACAGAATTTAGTGGAGAAAAATAAAAAATTAGCATTGCATGTGCCTAATGGAAAATAGGTATGAAAAACAAACAAAAAACATTTTTTTGTTTGTTTTTCGTGTTGGTGTTGATCTACAAGAACAAAGCAATTGCCATGGATTGCTTTCTTCTTGTGGATCATCTCTCCATGTCAGCAAGCACAAGAATCACTTTTCTTTTTGGATCGACACCAATTCTATTGCAATACAACAAAGTTACATGACATCCTAGTTTGAAAAATATTCCTATAACTTATGCCAATCAAACTTCTGTTCAAACCCAATTGAATTTTTATTAAATTTAAATTAAATTTTGTCCTATTTTAAAACATCAACTTACCCAAGAACGGCTAAAAAAATACAGCCGGAAACATTTGTAAAATATTTAAGTTTATTTCTTCAGAGTAATTAGTGCCGTTTCTTCGGTAATTGATATTTTATGCAAGAATTTATCCAGTTAGTAAACACAGTTTTATAGACGACTACTTCCACCTTAGATACCATTTTACCATTTAATACAGAAATATGCCACAAAATCTCATTAACAACAGCAGCACTTGCATTTGTTGATTACACTTCATAATCGTAAAACCAAAAATAGACATCTCGTCTTTAATACACAAAATAAAATTTTAAATACAAACATAGGACCATAGCAGAAACCATATTTATATACCGTAATTATTTATATAGAATTCAAAGGAAAGCTGGTTGAGAAGTACATCTGGAAGAACCGAGTTGGCACTTCGATCACATCTACATAAACTACATCTCAATTCAAAACCGTTTAAAATTACACGTGGGATTTCTATGAGATCACCAGCGGCAAAACAACAGTTTCTACCAGAGCATCGAGCAGAGGAGAGGCGAGAAGTAATTGGAAAATATGAGGTCTCACACAGCAGATCCAAATAGTTTTATCACTCCAGTCGACCCCGAAAAAATAACTAACGGTCGGATCAAATATTAAAAATAAACGAGGAGGAGCAAGAAACTCATTTCAATTATATATTTTTTAAAAATCACAAATATTTACGAAGGAAAAGCACATTCTTCTTCGATTTCGGCAAAAACGTGTACACAATATTATAAATAAATATTTTGCATAAATTTCGACTTAATAAATACAGAAAATGTACAAATTTATTTTCCGATAGATTCATAAGCAATTAATTCGGAAACCGAACGACAACATTCTCATTTCTTTTCAACAATTCAGTTTTAATAAAAACTACACGAAAAGTGACATTTACATGCAACGATTAAAGCGTAACAATCGGCACGAATGAATTAAATTTGAAAGATAAAAAACTGTATATTAATAAATATCAAACAGTTCGCAGATATCGATCATTGATTTCGTCCAAATACGACCTTGACCGACAACAAAAATCAATTAGAAATCGTTCTCACCTGAAAGTCTCCATAGAACAAATAACAACAACGTTAATTTCGATAATCCTAAATATTTACTAATAAAAAGCATCGTCGTTAAAAATCACAGCAACAGTTTCACCACCGGCAACATATAAACACGTACGGTACGTCTACTTTTACATTATCCTTTAATATCTCACGGCCACGACACCGCTTTTCGGACACGACACCAGATGGCGCTTGGCCAGACTTTCCATATCGTTTGACTGACTTAAACGTCGATGGCTATATACAGTATATAAATATTTTTTATATAGGTAACCCCCGTATAACACGGTAGTTACGTTCCAAAAATTTGCCGTGTTATGCGAATCCGTGTTATACGAAACAAAGAACTAATACGAAAAGGAGGGTTAGGTTCCAAAAATTAAAAAACATGCTAGTATATTTTCATAATTAAGATAAATATCTTCATTAAAAATTTTTTAAGTGACACATATTAATATAAATTAAACAATATTTTCTTCGTCATCACTAAAAACACTATTAATTAACCGAGAGCGTTTTCTTTTTGGCAAGTTATCCTTATCCTCTGAACATTTTTCTTCATTATCTTCAGATCCATGCTTTACCTTTTGCAAAATGTATGTAATTTTAGATTGCTTGCTTCTAGTTAAAATGTCTTTATAAATTTCCTTATATGGTGCTAAGCACTTATGAAGAATAAAGCAAGTATGGAATAAGAGAAAAACATTCGGCAACATCAGAAGCAGAAGCGTCGCGATCTGGCAACATTGAAACAAGTTTCGAGAAGGACCACCTGTATTGACAGAAGGCGAGAAGAGAAAATTTACATACTTAAGTACTAATAGTTCACGAAAATAATAATTTTCATGAACTATTATTAGTTAAGTATGTAAAAATTTATTACATTTCCTGTTGTACGAGGGTTTTACCCAATTCTCGAACCGTATCAGAGTGAATCCGTGATATAAAAGTACCGTGTTATACGGGGGATAGTACCAATTCTCGAACCGTGTTAGAGCGAATCCGTGCTATAGAAGTGCCGTGTTATACGGGGGTCACCTGTATTTAGTTTTCCCGAATTTTCAGTATAGTCAATGTAAATTTTGAATATTATTAGTTCTTATTATAGAAAATTTTAAAATATACATATATATATTATACAGTGAAAACTGCTTAGGCGACCACCTGCATTCGACGGGCACCTGCCAAAACGGGCAAAAATTTCTGGCACGGAATAGTTTATCCATAGAGTCTTCGTATAAGCTACCTGTATTAAACGACCACCTGTGTAACGCGACCGTGGGCAACGATTTTTGGTCCGAAACAACATACAACACCTGTAATAAGCGACCACTTTCGTGAATGTATTTGGTCTAAACTATTGTTCAAACCCATTTCAACAACGTTTCCACCTCCTAATATAATGAACTAGCTTATCCGTCGCGCATTGCTGCGATCTCAGAAGAAAAAAAATTCAAGCAAACTCGTTATGATAAAATTAAATTTTCATTTTATCATTTTTATTGAAACTTATTATTATTATTATTCATTTTCATCGGGAAAACATTTCACAGTGTCGTTTCAATTCTATTTATTTATTGGAGTGTTTGTGGATACACGATATTTTTTGTTTATCCGTCTGGTGCGTACACGAATAAATCGGAAGGTTTTTCGACGCGTGAGCCGGCCACATACAGTTGTCCATGCGAGAAGCACGAATTCTCCAAATTTAGCCTACACACTCGCTGCGATTGTCAGAAGTGCGATATTCCCCATTTTTATATATATTTTTAAATCCTTTATAATTTTAATTATTTAATTGCTCCTTCCTCTCTTCCTTGGCATGTTGTGAAATTTCTGATAGTTGGATAATAAACCGTTTTATTGTAATTTGTCTTTTTAAATTATT